ATACGGTGTCTGCTTTTCCTGGCAATAACATTTCTTGTTGGGAACAAGACATAAATTGGAGGGGACTTGATGGCACCAGACAGCAATGACAGTGTCCGAAGCATCCTCATCTTGATGGGAATCAGGAGAAGGGATGTTTAGTGGGTTACCTAGGACCAGGAGTTTGGGGTTTTCTTTCCACTGCTCAGTTCTATTTGATAAAGTCTAGAAAGAGAGTGACGGAGAAAGATTGAAGAGATAAATTTTGAGAAGTAGGAGTGAAGGTATAGGTGGCCACCTGTGATCTCAATCTCTCTTGGGTCACCCCCTGGAAACCCCCTCCCCTCATCAAAAAAGGGCCAGGAAAAGACAGCTGGAGAGGATGGCCAGTATAATAGGGCAACAAAGAGCTCCTTCAGGCCTTAGCCAAAGCTGGGCCACTGCAGGAGGAACATCTTAGAAGGGAGGGACCGACTGAAGTCCGATCGGGAGTGGATCTCTCCAGAGGGTGAGAAGGCCAAAGATGGAGCCCCATTGATCTCTCTCTCTCTCTCTCTCTCTTTCCCAGATCTAACACAAGGTGAATCGGGCCAGGTTGTCATCTCATCATTTTCAAGCACGTTAAGAAAACCTGCAGCCAACCAAACCAAACCCCAAGCTTCTCTGGTATGTGTTGTCTTGTTACGTCCAGACGTTTACCCCCCCAAGGGCTCGGCTGGTTTGCATCAATCTGCGTGTCCTAATGGAGAGGTACAGAAGACAAAGGAGAAACACTTCTGCTCCTCCAAGCCCAATTGCAGTCCTTCTCCTATGGGTGAGGAAGATTATGGCAAAGGTGAGCCACTACTGGGTCTATCGTCCAGGGACAGCCCCCTGTGGATGATGGGCTGCCTCCAGGTCCTGACAACCCTCTGGGTGGTGTGGTGTTCTTTTTTAATATATGTTTAAATCAACATACAAACAGGTTCAAGTTAGAGAGGACACCTTTCAGAGGACACCTTTCAAAAGAGGACTCTCCTCTCAGCAGACCTCAAAACCATGGACTGTGCTCTATAAAAGTGGTCACGCAAGGTGGCTGTGTTGCATGCAAGGAGGAGTTGGGTTAAGCATGTTTTCTTGCTGACTGGTAACCCTTCCTGATCCGTCCTCTCCGGCCCATTTCCATCATCTCATCCAGCTTTGGGGGGAAGATCTACTTCACCAGAAGGGATATTTTGTTCTCTGTTAGATTCCAGCCTGCTTTTAACTTTTCTTTGTGACGGTGGCTGGCCATTTTTAAATCACGACAGTTTTAAGGCATTGTTTTGTTTTTGCTATGCTTACATAAATAACAACATTTTGAGACTTTATGGAGCAGGACTGGGAACCATATTTCTTCAAAACGTAGACCTATACCTTGTATTTCATTTAATATTGGTGAGTTGTGGGGCTCTGGATTGCTCTGAAACACGATGACGGATGGGGGGAAAGAAAGATTAAAAGACAGCAGCTAGTCCTGTTTATTCTGCCTGAATCCTTAATGGCGCAATAAAACCCTACTTATTGCTTGTAATATTCAGAATTAATGACTGTGGCGCTGAATAATTGATGGCCATTTTAACGCAAGCAAGAATTCAATTAAATTCAAACAAGAGACACCCAGCCATGTGGGTAAAGAATTCCTCTTTTCCATTTTGTATGACTGCAGACAATATGCGTCGGATCCGGTCACTCAAGACAGCTGGCAATGAAATGGGTGCGTGAGAGAGAGACAGGGAAGCCGAGCGGGTATTAGGTTGCTTAAGAGTCATTCATCGTGTCTTTGAGCAAGGCAGAAATCCGAACTCCGGGAATGGATCCTTGGCGACGGAGACCTCTCCCCTTGGAAGCTGGATCAAGGCAAAGCTTACCCTGGCCTGCGAAATGTCACAGGAATTATTGGGCCATCGGGCAGGGGAGTGTTGGGTCCTTGATGCATCCCCCGGTTGGGGAGCATGGCCTCCAACGAGCATCATGAGCGTTGCTAGAGGACGAAGACACTCTGCTGAAAAGGAGGGCGTCTGTTGAGGAGAACCGTGGTTTCCAAATGCACGGTCTAGACGTATGCAGGGAGATGCCCTTGAATGGCTCTTGCTTGTAAACTGGATTGACCTCAGAGTGTTTTTTCTCCCATGTACACAGAATGTGCAGCTCTCCAAGTTACTGCCCACACGAGCATCTGTGTTGTCCCGGGCGAACCTTTCTACCAACTCTACTAAAGAATAGGGGCACAGGGTGAGATTAGTTTTGAATCTCTACCAAAGGGCACGCCTTGCCTCTCAAAGAGTCACTGCTTGCCTCCGTCCATGTGGAATAATAATAAGAATGTCCCAGGGTAAACACTGGATTGGATGATCATCCTTCAGATTGGAATCGTAACTATCTGTTTCTTAGCCTAACCGTGGAGGTTCGTCCGGGTAAGACTCGAAGACACGATCAGCATCAAGTGGCAATCAAAGCAAAAGTTTGGCACACCCTCCTTGTGCCTTTTTCCTCTCCATGCGTCTCCTGCAGGCCACGGAATTTGGAATTACGGCATCCTTGAATTATTCAGCACATTAAACGTTCGCAAGTTGTCCTTCTATCAGCCCCAGTTCCCTGGACTTTGAATTTTTAAGCGTCGGCCGAGTTGGACCAAACTGGCGAGGAAAGATCCTGTGACACGACCATACATTATTAACTCTGAAGCCGGCACCTTGGTTTGGTTTCTTTTGAGCTGCGAAAAGTCGTTTTGAAGGGCCTAGCCAAAATGAGGCAGGGGTGGAAAAAAAGGGGTAAGAGGATAGCCCAAAATCCCCACCTCCGTTGGGTGACTCCAGCTGATTTTGGAGGGGAGCCATTCATCCTTAATATGCAACGGTGGCTAATCAAAGATCAGCCGTGGGTGCAATATAATATTAAAAGAAGGTCCGGTTTCTCGTTCTTATCTGGAGAAACAGGCCAGCAGAGTGTGTCCGGTTGCCCAGAGGGCAAAGCCACCACCGACAGGCCCTATGAATTATTGAGCTCTCTCCACTGCGATGGAAAAGTCATTTTGCAGAACGAACTCACCGTCCTGTCATGCTACGCTGGATCCTGAACCCCCTGGCAAAGCCAGTTCTGAATGGCCCAGACAGAAGCCTTCTTTGAAACGGGTGTCCGCAGCGGGATGGCTTCGCAGGTAAAGGTGGATGACGGGTCGTGGCTCTACTGGTGGAGAGACCTGGCGGCCCTGCCCCCTGCCTCTCGGAGGGGGGGCTTCACCAAGGCTTGTTTCTGGCTTCACCCCTTGTGAGCTGCTGTGGTTTAGGACTTGGTGGGCGAGCAGGCAGGACCTCCAGCGCTCCCCTCTCTCTTGTGGCGTCAGATGGCCATAGAGGGAGGTTTGGGCAAGTGGGTAAGGCATGGCAGAACGTCGGAGGATTCTCCCGGGTCTCAGGCAGCCTCCGTTCTTAGCCTCAACTGGAGATGCCAGGAATTGAATCCCGAACCTTGTCCATAGAAGAAGGCACAGCTTGGGCATGGTAGGAAGTCATGAGCATAGCCTCAACTGGAGATGCCAGGAATTGAACCCTGAACCTTGAAGGCACAGCTCGGACATAGTAGGAAGTCATGAGCCGCGTTCGGTGGGCCATCCAGGGAAAATGGTTTCGGAACTCAAGAGTGCTCCATTATAGTACTGAAAATGGTCTTCCTCCTGCTGTTCGTTGGTTGGTTTTCAACCACGTCTCTTTCTCTGTAGTGGAGCAGAAGTTGCAAAGATGACAAAAGGGGTAGGATTGCCGAGTCTTAGGGTCGTGCCTGAAGGAAGGGAAAATAAATTGATTTTTGTTTGCATGTAAGGCGGCTTCAAAGTTTTAGCCACCATCTCTCTCTCTCTCTCTGGCTGCTGACCTGGCCACCCTATAGAGAGATCAGACAGTTGTAAATTTAACCCGAGGGCAGGATGTTTTCTTGATTTCTGCTTGTCCAGCTTCCTGTGATGCTGCGATATATTTTTTTAAAAATCTAATTTTCTAATGCAGTCAGCTGTGAAGCAGTAAAGGACAACGTCTATTCAGGTATTTATTTATCTCGTAAATCAGCCCGCACAGTAGGAAAGCTTTCTGCAACCCGGTGCCCTCCCGATACATCGCACTGCAAGATCAACAGCTTGTTTCAGCATGATGGGTGTTGTGGTCCGCACACATCTGGAGGGCAGGAGGTTGCTATGTTGGCTGCCACAGTAACTGCTGCCAAGGAAATGCAGTGGCTGAGTTAAGAGCAGAGATTTCTTACACCCTAACCATGTTCTTGAAAAAGATATTCCATAGAATGTCACTTTTGCCGCTGATCCGGTTGACAATTAAGTTTTCCCACAGAGATAAGGGGTGAATAATGTTTCACCTGCTTCAGGTCTGTATCCCTGGCTACTGCGCAGAAAAGCAGGTGGGTGGATCTGGAAAAGAAAAACACACCGGCGCCTGTATTGGAGGGGCTTCTTCTGATGCCGGGAGATGCTGCTTATTTATTTCAGAAGATTTCTCTCTAGCTTTCCTCCACTAGGGAAGAAATCTCAGCACGGTTTCAAGAACCCCAGCCATAAGCCGACAGAATAAAATAACCGGGGACAATAATTATCCTTTGCATATGTTATCAAATAGAAAGAAAGAAAGATGCTTTAATAGCTTGCAATAAGGATGCCGTTAAAAACAGCAAAAGCCATTAAAATCAATTCGTTAGAACTAGGGAGGTGGAAAAGGTTACCCGTGAAGGAAGGGAACTAGGGAAATGTTGACCAAGAGTTTTGCAGTTGTGCAGAAGAAAAACAAACCTACTGCCGGCACCTTTAAGATGAGCACCGTGAGTTTTTGCAGATTGCCATCCGTCTCCTTAGTTTCCTTTGGCGAGGAAAAGACTCGCGGGACCTCAGGTGCTCAGCCTGGGATCCACCCCTTTGATCTTCTGGGTTTGCTTTGCTGACACCCACCCACAGAACTTTGAAATCCCTCTAATTGCTGACAGCAATTAAAAAATAAAAGGAGAGCCACCTGACCACCCAACCCCCCCTCCTCCTCCCAAGCCAGCCAAGGTTGAGCCAACCCAACCCACCAGGCCACATAGTTTGGAAGCGTGGCTTTTTCTTCCCCGCCGCCGACCACCACAGCTTCAGAACTTTTGGCCACGTTGGCCAGGAAACCCCGAGAGAGCTTCTGTTGAGGAAAGGAACTTTTCCAAGCCACCTACGCTACGCCCAGGCAGCCCCCTCTGGAGTGCAATGGAAGAGGCAGTAAGTGTCCGGCATTCGGACGTCCGGAGGAACTGGAGAGGCCAAAGCCAACCTACGGCAGGCTGGATGATGGCCACCCCTTGGGCCTCAGAGCGGAGGTCGCCCACCTGGACGGGCACTGTGTGTGTGTGTCTGTGTGTGTGTTTGTGTTTGTCTTTTCTTAAGGCTGGGAGAAGGCATCTTCTAGGTATCTCTGAAGTTTATTTCCTAAGTATCTCAGGCATTTCTCAAGGTTATCTTCTAGATATCTCCGAGGTATTTCTGAAGGTAATCTAAGTATCTGAGGTTCTTCTGCAGGTAATCTTCTAAGTGTCTCCGAGGTATTCTTCTGAAGGCTATCTTCTCGGCATCTCCGAGGGGGATCTTCTTACACGGAAGCAGGTCAAGGTATCTCCTACATGTGGAAGCCAGACAAGGAAGATGGGATTTGAAACCGGTCTGTGCTGGGCTTCATCGTAGCCATGTTCTGCTTAAGTGGGGTTTTTTTGGGGGGGAGGGAGAGAGCCTTTTGGCCGGCTCGAGGGTGTCTGTGGCTTTGCCACCACCATTGGCTCCCTTGAGGGGTCCCTCGACACCCCCAAAGGGGTCCTGAAGGCGCTGCCGCGGGCCTGGGGTCCCGAAGTCTTGTCAGCCCCTCCGAGAACAGGCAAAGGCCAGCCCCGCTTAAGCCTTGCTGGCAGGTTCCGTCCTGGAAGCCCCATTTCTGGGCCTTTCCTCCCGAGGTGTCATCTTTTTTTTTTCCAAAGACGCCTTCTGGGAGGGAGGGTGAGTGCATTCCCTCAGGTGGCCCTGGGGAAGAAAGGCATCCGGACGGAGACTTCAGACCCGCAGCTCATTGCCCGGGCGTCTTCCCTCTCGCCTCAGGAGGAGGAACGACAAGAGAGAAAGGAGGAGAGGCTGCAAAGCCGACACAGAGTCTTGTGGCACCCTTCAAGCTGGCCCAGTTGACGGGGCATAATTGGCTTTTCCTTCCAATCCTCGGCACGTGGGCCCAGCAAAGGGCTACTTTAAAGGTGCTGCAAAACGGGCATCGCAGAAGAGAGGCACAGCTACCCTCTCCCCTTAGGAAGAGCCGCGGCCAACTCAGGCGGCAGGTTTTGGTTGTCCTCTTCATTTTACGAATATCTGTCTTTGCCGCCTGGAACCAGGGCCGAAGCTTGTACACTTTCCTGCCTCATGGGGAGGAAGGAACTGGGCACGCCTGGACTGGGGCGGGTGGGCATGGAGGTCCTCTTGGCTGCCTCGCCCCGGGCAGCAAAATGTCTTGGGTCAGCCTGTGGGTGATGCCACTGGCATAACACATAACTCCTGGATCTGGAGGCAGAGGGAGGTTTTCCTCGTGGTCGTGCGGGATTGGGTTGGGGGATTAATGTCAGCACCTGTAATTAGGAAGGAATTTATGTGCTCCTCTCTGGCAGAAGGCCATCTGCTCTTTTCTGATAGTTTAACAGCAGATGTTAAGTGAGTTTTGCATCAATAAACTCACCTTTCCGAGTAGGAAAAGCAGAGCTCTGCATAACTCTTGCGGACGGAGGATTTCTGGAGAGAAGGATGCTCTCCAGCGGTGGACCGTCTCCCCGTGTGTTAATTTTAGATGTGTCTTTATGCCCCTGAGAATTTCAGAGTTTGCTTTTTAAACTAGACTTGCTTCCAAGTTTATAGCAAACCATTCCGTCTAGACCCAAGTAAGCAGCTGCATGGAGACTGGCATGTCTTTGATTAAGCAGAAAATTTGGGCTTAATTTTTGTTACTGAATGTCAGCCCTTGCATCCCACATTTCTGGGCATTTCTCTCTCTCCCCCCCCCCCCCCAGCGGGCTTCCAAATCCATGGGTAATAATACAGTGTCATAAAACCGCTAGCTGTCGATATAATTTAAAAGGCAAGCGAGGACAACGGAAAGACGATGTTATTAAAACAATACAATGAGACGGTCCCAAAGCAGGTTTGGGAAAGCTGTGTTTTTAGGGATCGCTGAAACTAAAGGAGGGGTTTTGTACGTGTCTCTCTAGGGAAGGAATTTCAGCCGTAGGTGTATGTATTGTGGGGTTGTCAGGGTTTTTTAAGGTTTAGTTTTGTTTGGAATTAATAACAAATAAATATTAAAAAGGAAGGGATTTCAGAGGTAGAGCCGAAGGACTTTGACCCCTCCTTTTCAGCAACCTCAAGCTCTTAATACTGTAGTGATCTGAACGGACCACTATTCTCGCTTTACAGCTCAGGCAGTTCCCTGTAACCGTAGGCAGCGGTCCACGTAGCCTGGTTTATGCCAGCACCCTGATCCGAGTCTGGAAATAAATGTGAACGCTCTCATTCATAGTGTTCCTTGATGTTCCTCTGTTGCAGATCCACAGTTCTTTTTGTGGCTTTCTGTTCTGGATATTTTTTAAACAGCAGTTAGGAACATAATGCTCGCCTGCCTCTTGATTAGCAGAGGCAGAATAAATTATGCATACACAGCCACTATATGTAAAATCACATCAGTGTGTATAACGAGCGCAGATTCGAAGGCACCGTTTGCCAGAAGGAAGCAGGGATTTCCTTTAAAAGCAATGTTTCGTTATAGGCCGTGTCTGCAGTGCAGAATGTCCAAAATTCCCTCTCTGAGTCTCCGTGCTATGTTACCATCAAGGCCCCCCCTCCAATTTATGGGGGCTTTAGCAATTAACAACCTCTGAAAGGCCCTGTCCCTAACAGATCCATTCAGGTCTTGCAAACTCAGGGCCGTGGTTTCTAGCATTGCATCGAGTCATCTCTCGTTAGATTTACCTCTTTTCCTACCACCTACCACTTTTGCTAGCAGGAGTGTCTTTCCAGGGCTTCTTCCAAGGATGCGGCCAAAATAATGGTCGCCTTAGCTTAGTCCTGATCACTTCTAGGGAGGAGAAGTCGGGCTTGGTTTGACGGTGCGCCCGTTCATTTGTCTTTTCAGTGGCTCTCGGTGCCTGCAAGACCACCTTCCTCCAAGGTCCTTTGTCTTTTTGCTCCTCAGCTGGCTTCAACATCCAACTTTTGCATCAGCACATCTGGAATACCATAATATTCCTTTTGCTTTGCTTTGCTTGCTTCCCTGTGGTTTGGCCTTCTTGAGCCGCTTCAACCCCAAATGCGTGGTGGGTTCAGCGACGTTCTTCAAGCGACAGGGGCGAGAGACCCATTTTCACTTTGCTTTGCGATGTGTGTGTGTGTTTTTTTGGTAGGAAGATATGGATGGAAAAAAGCAGGGAGCCTTGCTTCTTGTCAAAACCGTGTTTTGTGCGCATGGCCACGGTTCAGAGCATCAGGATTACAGGCGCAAAGGATCCCTACCCTCATTTTTGATGAACATTGTGTCTTTCTTTTCTTTAAATTGCAGCTTCTCTTGACCTGACCCGGCAAGGAGATTGTTTCGTTAAAGCTGACACCGCCTGAATGGGACTCTCCCTTTCTCCTCACCCCTCGCTCTCTCTTTCTCTCTCTGCAAACCTGCATTCTTTACCTGTCTTCTTGTGTTAAAGTGGGAAAAGGATGGGAGACGGACGGACGGAGGAGGCCGAGATATGGCAGGTGGAACAGAGCCCATCAAACCACCCTGGCTGGGACTGAAGGACGGAGGGAGCTGGGGCTGGACGGCCGGACGGCCAGCCGGGGCTGAGAGCCGCCTGGAGACCTGTCTTCTCCGAAAGAGTTTCCCCGGACAAATCTCTATTGTTCCCTGTCATCTTTAAATGAGTGTCAAGGCAGGCAGGGGGGCATTGACCGTTAACTGCACAATTTAGCTGGGCTTGTCATGTCCCAGAGCGGCCCCCACCCCACCGTCCAGGGCCGTTTTTTCTCAGCTTAGCCAAGGGCCCCCTCTCTAAATGGGCCGCTCGGGCGGCTTTTGTGCGCGGACTGCCCGGTGTGAAATTTGCAGTGACGTTAAATGTTTTCTAATGAATAATTACTGAAAGGATAAGGAGGGATCTGTGTGTAATGGATTGTAGCGCATTAAAACCTTTTCATTCAGGGCGGGACACACCAATGTTGTCCTTCACAAGGACCTCGTCTGCCCCCACCCTGGGTTTTATTTTTTTTATTTTTTTGGTCAGAAAAGAGCTTTATATATTTTTTTAAAATTCTTCTACTTCTGGAGGATTTTTCTTCTTCTTTTGATTCTCAAGAGGATTATCTGGGAGTCCTTAAAATGCATCGTCCCCCCCCACTACCACCTCTTCCCGACTCCCCCCACCCCACCCCCTTCCAACCCTTGATTGAAAAAGAGGCCCGTTAGGCCAACGAGGGGCTTTCAAGATGGCAGCCCACGAAGCCCATTGAAGGGTTCAAAGTTTTAGGGTTTTTTAAGGAGAGGGGTTTGAAATCCGGGAGATGTCCGCACTTGGGCGTTGGATTCGGGGAGTGTGTGTTTCGAAACAGGAGTTTTCCTGGCCTTGATCCTTCTCCTGCTCACACCCTTTGGATCGGGGCCGTGCCGAAGTTACAAAGTAGGAGTAACCCGAAGGGTTCGGGATTGCTGTCGTTTCCCTTGCTTAGCCTGCCGATTAACCTGGAATGGGTTGTTGAGAAAGAAATCGGCCTATAACCCATGTTTTGTGGGGCGTGCACAGATTTTGAGACGTCCTGCTTAAAATTCTGTGCCAGAGTTAGTTGATGGTATACAACCTTCTCCTGAATGGTCATCGAGCTTTGAAGTCTGCAACTGCTTTGCAACAACTTTGATTTTGGAGGTGTGGTACACACAAACGTTGACACGTTAAGACGTTTCGAGCAGAGTTTGATCTTTGGGTACCGACGATGTAGCTCAAAACTTGACTTCTGTGTTATTAGACCTCTTCCAATGAATTATGTACTATGCCTGAGAGTATCGGCTTATTATTTAATTTATTTAGACTATTTTTACCCTGTAAAAAAAGGCCCTAAGGTGGTTTATTAATGTTTGCTTCATTCTCCTCTTTTCCTGCATGTTTTCAAGGGTGTGCATGTGTTCACCTGCTGGGGAGAGAAGTGGCAGAAATGTTGAACTGTGTTTTCAGAAGAATGAGTTCTGAAAAGTTTCCGTAATCCACAGATTACCCCCCATTCCCTTGTATGGGCTTCAGTGAAGTCTAGGCTTGACTACTGCAATGTACTGTACGTGGGGCAGCCTTGGAAGTCATCTTCGCCATCCCAGTTGGTTCATCCAAACTGGAGCTGCTTGTTTCAGACGGGCTCCGGTGATGAGGTCATTGTCTTGCCCGTGCGGATTCCTGGATTCCAGAGCCTGGAAAAGTTACTTTTTTTAGACGGCCTGTTTCTGTGACCCCTGCAGGATGGTGAGATCTGTAGTCCAAGGATGTAGCATTTTCCCAAGTTCTGCAGTGAATGCCCTGAGTCTTCTGTAGAGTTCTGGTGTTCTTTCCTTGTTTTTTTCTCTCTCCTTCTCCCAGGGTCATATCGTTTGGAGGCCAAAATTACAATGGAATTGAATATAGATCAGGCGCCTCTTCCCGGAATCCAACAGGGAGGGATTTTTGGCACCCTCTTGTGGGTCAACGACAATATTGCTTCTGGATGATCTCTGTGTGTGTGTTTAATTTGCTTGATTGGGGAAACCAGAGGCTGAAGGAGTATACGTATATGGTGCCGATTAACAGGATTCAGCCAGAGAGTGTCCCCCCCTGTCTCCAGACAAACCATCTGCCTGTCAGGCTGAAATTCAACAGGGGCGCTCCCTCTGACCAGGCGAGGAAATCAACGGGGAAAGGCGATCTCTGAAGTGGCCCATCATCCACAGGCTTTCCCATGTGCCGTTTTGTTGCGCTTATAACAATCACTGCAAACGGTGCCTCCGTAGGCATTAATTAGCAACCTGTTGTCCTATGTTTTCTATGTGCAAGTGGCCGCCCTCATCATCCTTCAACAGGGGCGCTCCCTCTGACCAGGCGAGGAAATCAACGGGGAAAGGCGATCTCTGAAGTGGCCCATCATCCACAGGCTTTCCCATGTGCCGTTTTGTTGCGCTTATAACAATCACTGCAAACGGTGCCTCCGTAGGCATTAATTAGCAACCTGTTGTCCTATGTTTTCTATGTGCAAGTGGCCGCCCTCGTCATCCTCATCATCACCGCCACCTTAGAACTGCAGAGCTGAAAGGGGACCCTCTCGATCCTCGAGGAGGCACCGTGGGGGAATCAAACTCTCAGCCGCAGGCTCTGCAGCCAGAGATCTAAACGGCTGAGCTGTCCTGTGTCTGCCCAGGCAGGGAAGCATATAGATATATATACTGTATATATATATTTGCATCGGTTGGTTGGATATATTTGTGCTTGGCTCACACTCTTTCTCTGGCTGCTTGGAAATGTTTCGTGCTCAAATGATGCAACCATTCAGCAAGATTTTTTGCCAGGTGAGGACAGGGGGGTGTCCACTGGAACCAGCCCGCTTTGTGGCTGGCCAAGAAAGAAATTGGGGGGAGAAAAACCATCCCATCCGCATACTTCTCCCCCCCCTCTGTCTTTTTATATTTGGGTGGGAGGGGAACCTTTGCTTCAGCCGGAACATGAACGTAGCGGCGACCGAAGGCTTTCACGCGGATTGTTGAGTCAGAGGCTGTTGTCAGTGGCAATTCAGTAAAAAGAAATAGGTTAGAGAAATCTGATCCAGTCCGCGGCTACTGGGATTTCAAGTCTGCCCATTCTCTCTCTCTCTCTCTCTGGTCTCAAGAGAAGGTAAGGCATTATTTTTCTGTCCGGCACAGAAGCAGCCTTGTGGTGGGTACCGTCTGCTCCTCTGGACCGTGGCGGTGGACCACGCTTCGTCTTGAATGGGTTTTTCTTCCATTCCTCGGTCCCTTGTCAATCCAGCCTCCTGAGCATGTTAGTCGCTGTTACGCAGAGGGGAGAGAAATGCTAACGTTAAAGTGGGCTGGAGGGCCCGGATGAGGAAGGGGGGTGGTGGTGGCTGCGTGATGCTAGGTGGGGGTGCAGGAAGCTCCCTCTGCACATGGTCAGAAACCTTATCGTTGCTTTAGTGTGTGTGAGAGAGAGTGTGTGTTTTCCTCCTAGAGTATAATCTGCCTTCACTTGGGAAGCCACTCCTGCAGAGCATTTTGTGAATTTTATGTAGGAATGAAAGCTCATCTGTCTAAAGAGGAGCGAATATATTTTTTTCCCAGAACCAATGAAGGGTGTGTGAACATCCCACTAGGCTGCAAGCTCCTTCCCCCCCCCCCTTAAATCCTACTCTGTGTGTGACTCCCTGCTGGATAAAAGGCAAGGGATGGAGAAAAACCCTCCTCCAGTTTTTCCACTGCTTTCCTGGCTGTTCTGGTGAATTCCCATGGGCGCAGCCGTGTACCCGGTCAGGGCCAACTTTTGCAACAATATGTTTAAAGTCCAGCTGGCGAAACCCAGAAAGGATTTGCTTTGTTGGCTGTGCAGGGAAGCTCAGGAGGAAGAAGACGCCGTTTGAAACCCGGCAAGTAAAGGATTTTGCTCCTAAAAAGCCACTTTTTCTAGGAACATATTTCCCCCCAAAAAGGGGGGTGTTTTTTTTTTTAAATCCACTTTTCAGAGTTGGGTGGGTGGGTTTTGTTTCCCGCTGCTGGCAGGCTCAGCCCAATGTGTGGCTTCACGTAAAAGGCCGGCACCTTGGAGCACCAGCCGGAAAGCCAAACAAACAAAAAAACTCTGATGGTGTATCCGGCCTGCGCTCCAGATATTTGGGGCCATGGTCTGGTTGTGGATGATGGGACTTGGTACTACCACACCTCTGGGGAGGGGCGGCACCAGTTTGGGAAAAGGTTGTAGCTGAGAGGGTTGAACTGGGGACTTGGAAAGCCTTCCGTAGTGACCGCAGATCGCCGAGCACTTGCTGGGAAGAATAGACCCCTCCATCCTTTGCACTCCATTGCAAGATAGAGTAACACTGGCCTGCCTTACAAGGTGTGTCGTTCACAAGCTTTCTTTCCACTCCCCTCCCTTCATTTAATTAAAAACGGAGAACTTTCTAAGCTTTGCAGCTGTTTTCTCGTTTCCAGTCTCCCCGAAGTGGAACCATTTTGCAGAACGAAGAAAGAATTTTCTCTCTCATTTGTTGTTCTGTTTCAGAAGCCCAACGGCAAACGCACGGAGAGAACAGGGTTGGATGTCATTGTTTCCTTCCTTTTCAAAAGAATTCCCGGGGGTTACTAACCTTGGTCCAAGTGAAAGAAGAATCGTTCCCGAATTCTTCAACCTTGGGAAGAGATGTTCTTGTTAGGACATCTGAATAGGCGGTCTCTCTCTCTCTCTCCTCCGTGTTCAGGCTTCTTTATCGTTGTTATTCTGCCTAGAGCATATGAAAAATGTGCATTTCCAGCCCTCTTGGGGAGTATCTCTCATCACCCTCTTCTTTCTCCTTTTCCTCCGGGTCCCTAGATAGAAGCAACGTGGCGGAAGCCTCACCAGCTGAACATGGAAGGGGCTCTGATCGCCCGGGACCGAGTTGGGGTTCAGGACTTCGTCCTCCTGGACTCCCACACGAGCGAATCGGCTTTCCTGGACAACCTCCGGAAGCGATACCGGGAGAACCTGATCTATGTACGTCGAGACCCGTAATGGGGCTTGTTGGCCTTTGGTGTGCTTTGTAATCCCGTCCTGATAAAAGAGACTACGGGGTGGATAGAGAGGGATGTGCTGCTGTGGAGATCTGGATGGGATGAGCTGGAAGGAGGGTGGGAGAGTGATGTTGGGGAACACGGGATGGTGGCCGAGACTAGGTTGGGATATATGCAGAGATTTCTGCCTGAGGATGAGCCCTCCATCCGGAATGGCTGGGCTTCCTGCTCAGATTCTCTTTCAAGAATGTTATGGAGAGTGTTGGGACCCTTTAGCTGTTCTTCGACTGAAATTCCCTGAATCCTTGCATTGGATGGGAATTGTCAGCACAAGATACCTGGAAGGTCACTGTGCCCTGCCTCTGGTAGGGATGGTAATAGGGGAGGATCATGGCATCCCATAGATTCTGACCCGAACTGTGCCGAGCATCACCTGCGCTGACCGACTTCATCCCCTCGGGGTGAGCTTCTTAAGAGCCAGCTGCTCTTTTCTCGCCTCCGTAAAAACGCTGCTTGTTCTTCTCCCTTAGACCTACATCGGGACTCTCCTGGTGTCCGTGAACCCCTACAAGGAGCTGGGCATCTACACGGCCAAGCAGATGGAGCAATATAAGGGCGTCAACTTCTTCGAGCTGCCTCCCCACCTGTAAGTGGGCATCATCCGGAGCTCCTTCGTGGAGTTCCGGCTGTCCTTCTTTCTTAATTATTTTTTTAAGGAGAGAAATGAGAGAATATTTAAGATTGAAAAGGGTCCTGCAGCTCACAGCGGAAAACAGATCTTGAATCCGCCCATCTGGGTGGAAAGGAGGAAGAGTTTGATGGCCCCTCATGTAAGGACCTTGAGGAAGACGCCACGTCCCTCATCTTCTAGCCCCATCCTGCCGAATCCTGACTGGTGGCCGTCACCAGTAACCCCAGAAGAGGCTAGAGAAGCCTCTAAAAAATAGAAACCTATGAGTCTCGGAAGCTTGCCGTAAACAAAACGGTTATCTTTAAGGTGCCTTAAACCTCTCGGTCGCTTTTGCTGGTGTTTCCCTCTTAGTCTTCCATTCCAGCATTCACGAGGCATGACCGTTTGCCGTTTTTGGAATAAGATTCCTCGTGTGTGTTAGGCTGGGATGTTGAAACCACAGAGGACGGTCACCTTGCTATGTTCCCGTCAGGCCCCTTCTGACTTCACGGTGACCCTCATCAGATTTCTGGGGTGAGCGCGATGTTGCCAGGTGTGGTTTTAACATCCCCACCCCAGTGAGCTTCCATGGCTAAGGTGTGCATTTGAACCCATGTCTCCCGAGTCCTAGTGTAAGACCCTTTCCATTACACCGCCTCTCTATTCTTGACCCCGCTCTATTCTTGATCCGAGACTAACCGACTTGATTTCTCACAAAGTTTCGTGGACCGCAGCCAGTGTGTCAAACGCAACACACAAAAGCCGACGGCCATTAAAACGTGTTCCTCTTTAAGGTGATGCCAGGCTCTTGGTCAGTTTTGCCGCAACGGACTTAGCAAGGTTTACCTGTCCCTTGACCTGTGCCCACCTGGATGGGTTGAGTGTGTGTGTGGGGTGTCACAGTTTCAAGCTTTAAACCCGTCTTGACACGACCGGACACAAGCTGAGGATGCTGTGGGGGGGGGTTCCTCTCCCAAAGGGCACGTGCTCGCCTCGTGGGCCATGGGTGTATTGTGTGTCTTCTCCAGTTACGCCATAGCCGACAACGCCTACCGCGTCATGTGCACGGAGTACAACAACCACTTCATCCTGATCTCCGGGGAGAGCGGAGCCGGGAAGACGGAAGCCTCCAAGAAGATCCTCCAGTTCTTCGCCATGACTTGCCCCACCACCGAGCAACTGCAGATCGTCCGAGACCGCTTGCTCCTGTCCAACCCTGTGCTGGAGGTGAAGTGGAAACGCAGTTTGGTTTGGGCTTCTAGGCTAGAGTAGAGCCCTTTGGGATGACTGTGGCCGAGGGTCAAAACGGAGGGTGGTCCTTAGCCTGTCCTTAGGAGCCACGTGCCCTGGAGAGGGTGTTTTTCTCTAGGGATCCTTGCGTGAAGTTTCCCAGCTCTGCCAGGTGACTATGAGCTTGCTTGTGTTTTGAGATGGGTTCCTATTATGATGAGCAAGGGCTTCCCTTCCAGGCCAGCTGGCTCAGGCGTGGGAGATTTGAAGGAAAGCGTGACTAGCGAAAGAACGCTTTCGCCACCTCCCAGTTGTGACACTGGCTTCTCCTCAGGGCCTGCTTGGAGCTTTTCCTTAGGCTGCTCCCCACTTTGCTGGGATGTGATTCCCAAACTGTATGATGGCTGAATGCACCGTCCGTAGTCACATGGGTGTGTGTGTGTGTGTGGATTGATTTGAGAAATCAGAGTGTGTGTGTGTGTGTGTGTGTGCATTGATTTGAGAAATAACTGTTTACACGGATGCGATGCAGTTTGCCTTTTGACTCATAGTGGAACCCTAGCAAATCCTGTGGTATTTGAGGATGCCCTCACAGCCTCAGTTAGATATTAGGCCACCACTTGCTTTCTGGCAGGGAGGAGTCTTCTGTGATGGTATTTTTATTTCTGGACGTTCAATGGAAAGCATCGGGGTTTCAACATCCTTCTCTCGGTTTTGTCTGCAGGCCTTCGGCAACGCGAAAACTTTGCGGAACGACAATTCAAGCAGGTTTGGAAAGTACATGGACATCCAGTTTGACTTTAAGGTAAAGGATATCTCTCACATGAACACACCGCTTGCGTGCTCGGTCGTGCTGACTTGGGAGATTCTTGGAACTGTCATCCAGGAGAAAAACATAATAATGTTTCTACGCTCTGGAGAGACTCCAGTTTTCATTTCTCTTATGAAATATCTTTCTCTCTCTCTGCACCTCCCTGGATCTTTCAGTCCACCTACCCTTCTCCCTTTCTGTTCGTATCAACCAACCTGAGAAAGGCAGCCAATAAATAAATAAATAAGCAAGCAAGCTCATCTGTCGGCTTTACCCCTGTGGTTTGCGTCTCTGTTGTAGCAGACTCTGGCTACACATTGTTGTGTTTCTGGGTTTCTGCACCCCCCCACCCCCTCCAGGGAGCTCCTGTCGGCGGACACATCCTCAGCTACCTGATCGAGAAGTCCCGCGTAGTCCACCAAAATCTCGGGGAACGCAACTTCCACATCTTCTACCAGCTCCTGGAAGGCGGCGAGGAGGAGTTGCTTCAGAAGCTTGGCCTGGAACGCAGCCCTCCGAAGTACATGTACCTGATCCAGGTGAGGACTCTTGCTGGTCCCCCCTTTCTTCCCTATTCCCGTGAGGACCTTCCATTACCAAATTTTGTTTAATGAGTCAACTGCCTTTTTAAAGATCTGGTCTTCCCTCCAAAGAGCTCAGGAGCTTAGTTTGCCCTGTATCTGGCTCTGGTGTACTCAGAGGCTGCTTTTCTCCCCCCCCCCAAGTTTTATCTTCACAACAGCCCAGCGAGGTATGACTTGCTGAGGGGTAAAAAGGTTTCTGTGGCTCAGCGGGGACCAGCATCTCTGTCTCCTGTGAGCGAGGGTCAAGTTGCACATTACAGAAGACCTGTCTGTAGAAAAGGGAGTCCCTTAAGTCCTGAAAGACATCTGATTGTCACAGTGGGGACTCATCAGCTCCCCCCCCGTACTTTGCAAAGGGGTTTGCTTTGTGTATGGTGGTCCAGAAGAGGGAAACAGAGCTTTCCTTGGCAATTCTTGATTGCTCGGGTGTAAAGGTCTGTCGGACTCTCGTCTCTGGAATACTAATGCGATTTCGGCCTCTAACGATGGGTCCCCCCTGGTGTAGATCTCGACCTCTCTTGACCCCTATGCCTCATGGGCTGCCAGTGCCCTACGGAGACCCGCCTGCAGTGCGGTCCCCCTCCTGCCCTTCCTCTCTCCTCCAACAGGGGCGCTGTGCCAGAGTGTCTTCCATGAACGACCGGAGCGGCTGGAGGACGGTCCAGAAGGCGTTTGCGGTCATCGACGTCCGATCGAGAGATGCCGAGGTAGAAGCCAGGGGGTAGAGGCTGAAGGGAATTGCTCTAAAGGGGTGAGCGGGCTGGAATGGGGTTCCTGCTGGATGACAGAAGCGGGGGAAATGTAGAAGCTAAAAAAGCAAAGTGTGCTGCTTATAGCCCCCCCCCCTAGCGCTTAAAGCACCCTCGGGGGGGGTCCAGTTTAATTATGCAGGCTACACATGGCTTCCCTCGCCAGCCGTCAAGGGTACTCAATTTACCAACCTCGAAAGGAAGGCTGAGTGAACCTCAAGCTGACTACCTGGGGATTGAACTCAAGTCGTGAGCAGAGTTTTGGCTGCAGTGCTGCAGTTGAACCTCCGCGCCATGAGGCTCTTAAAACGACCAACGAGTTGGAAGAGGCCGCTAATCTGAAACAGTTCCTTCAGCCACAGCTTTGGGGGCGGGGGGCCTGTGTTTCTTCTCTTCCTCCTCCTTCTTCTGGAGACCCTTCAGGCTTGCCTCCTGCTTTCACAGAACCTCTTTGGAATCATCGCAAGCGTCTTGCACCTGGGGAACATCCAGTTTGAAGAGGACAGCAATGGCCACGCCATCATCATCACTGGGATGCAGATCAAGTGGATCTCCAAGGTACGGCCCTGGACAGCAGCCCCTGTGGAGCGGAAGGTCACTCGTCCCCGACTGAGGGGCATCTCGCCTCCGCTTGGAGACCTCCAGAGGCGTAGAGTCCACGGTGGTCAGAGATCACCTGCCTCGCTGTCTTGTAAAGGTTTATAACGGCCTCCTTCCTCCCTTCTAGCTTTTGGGGGTCCACCTCTCCATTCTGCAGGAAGCTCTCACCCACCGGAAAATCGAGGCTCGCTTTGAAGAGGTAGGACGACCACCCTTGTTTTGCAGATGGGAAACTTGGAAGGAGGCGTTCACCCCCTTCCCGGTGTTGACGCTCTGCGTTTCTTTCGTCCCCCAAGGTTTTAAGCCCACTAGATGTCGACTTGGCATTTTATGCCCGAGACGCCGTGGCGAAGGCTATCTACGGGCGGACGTTTACCTGGCTGGTCAACAAAATCAACAGCTCCTTAGCTAACAAGGTAGGTCCCTGGCGGTCGCTGGCGTGACACGGCCGTCTTTTGAAATGAGCCAAAATCCGAGGTTGAGCTGCTTTTGCATTTATATTCTGCTCACACATGGAACGCAGTGCCTTCTCCCCTTGGGTTCATCTCAAAAGCATGGCCCTCTCTAACCTGCAAGTCCGAAGTGGGTATAAACCTGTTTCTACTGCCCGTAGAAATCAGCTCTCCTTCTGGTTAATTCTGATGTGATGCATTTTTTAAAAAATGTGCAGAAGAATACTAGTGGAGGAATTAATGTCACAAAGATCGTAGGAAATAAAGTATAATGAATAAGATTAATTATATTAATGATGATGAGGTTTGATATAGCGGGTGGCCTAAGAATCTAGTTTCTGCTTGTGAAATGTAATGTGGAAAGTATGCACAAAGAGGGATCAGAAGTAAGACACTCAGGAACAACCGTATTGTATGACTGTGCCTTTTTTTGGCAGGATTTTACCAAAAAAACAGTGATTGGCTTACTTGACATTTATGGCTTTGAGGTCTTCGAGACAAACAGGTGAGTTAACCCACCGTCTTGTCCCTTCCGGGCTCGGTGACAGTCGTGGTGCTTTGCGTTAGGGTCATTCTTGAAGGCAACCTGGAACTTAAATGGGCCCAGGTCACGAGATTGCCGCTGATCCTAGACTGGCCGAGAAGCCAGCAGGTCGGTGCTGCGGCAGAAATAGCAAATATGATTATATGCAGCAGTAACTGGACCAAGGTACCCTAAGTTACATGAAGCAGAAAGAATTGCATTTTATTCCGTGCAAGCCAATACTGTCAGTTCTGGGAACTGAGCTGAGGGATGAACCCGCTGGCTTGAAAAATCCCTTCCAACTCTGTTTTACCCAACGAAACGTGGTTTTAGTTTCCCACGTTGCAAGCAACGGCGTAACAAAGCTAATCTCCCCGGGTTATTTCCATGGTCTGAAACGAAGGGCGTGCAACGGCGTAACAAAGCTAATCTCCCCGGAGTTATTTCCATGGTCTGAAACGTATTTTTGACATGACTCTCTGCTCTTGGGATTTCCCCTCAAGTTTTGAGCAGTTCTGCATCAACTACTGCAACGAGAAGCTGCAGCAGCTGCTGATCGAGATGACCCTGAAGGCAGAGCAAGAGGAATATGAGCAGGAGGGCATTGAGGTAAAGCCATGCTTTGACACACACACACACACACCCCATGAAGCTCCCCCCTGAGCAGTAAGACGGCTCCTGAGTTTCGCCTGGCTGCCTGTGGCTTTAGGTCTCTGGCTGCAGAGCCTAAGGGTTGGGAGTTTGAGTCCTCCACTGGGCTTCCCAGGAGAAGAGCCAGCCTGGGTGGCCTTGGGCCAGCTGGGCAGTTCCATGGATCCTGCCCAGAACAAAGGAATGAGGAAGCGCTTCTGTGTAGTCTCTACCTAGGAAACCCTGAAAAAATATCACCGTAAATCAGAATCAACTTGACAGCAGGTGGTTATTATTATTTTAGAGAATTTGGGAGAATTTTCCAAAAGAGGCACCCAAACCCCGGAAAACAGAAGTCAAAACTGGACAATTCGGACCCCCTTTCCCTCAAAGCGGGGAGCAGACCCGCTTGGGTGCAGATTTGGCCCCCCTGGACCCGCCAACGTGGCTTAAATTCTCCCTCCAAATCTCGCCTATACAGTATTGCGTTTTGGAAGGGCACAAAGGGGAGGTGGTGACATCGAAGGACCCACCTGCAATATCTTTGTCTAAAGTGGTGTTTTGTTTGCCAGCCCACGGTCCTTTGTGTGTGTGTGCGAGTGTGTGTGTGTGTATGTGTTTATGTTTGCCTTCTCTTGACTCTCTCGCTTCGGATTGCAGTGGGAGCCAGTCCCTTATTTCAACAACAAGATCATTTGCGATCTGGTGGAAGAGAAACACAAGGGAATCATTTCCATCCTGGTAAGGAGAAAGATGTGAAAACATGTACTGTACTGTAGGTTACTAGCTGGCGTCTGGTACTGAATTGCTGAGACGTTCTCAATGGGGTTATTAACGTCCTCCTTTTGTACGGCTTAAATCAGATGCCGTTCATGATTATCAGGTAGTTTTACTGATTATTCAGTGGCCCAAGATCCGGGTGCACCTTGTGGGCTCGGGCGGCCGTCAATTTTTCACAAATTAAAAACCAGACGTTGGTTTGTACAAGTGGGTTTTTGCTCTGAAATATTTCAAAAAAAAGGAGGAAGATAAAAACACATTCGTTTTTGCAGCTACCCCCTCTCAAGTTGCCAGTCCCTAAGGGAAAGCCTGCCTGAAGAGGAATGTCTCAGAGGGAAAGCCTGCCTGAAGAGGAAGGTCTCTTTTGCCTGCTTGTGGAAGGATGGCAAAATGGGGCCCGGCTGGCCTCCAGTGGGAGGGAGTTCCAGAGTCTCTGGGAGCAGCAGCAGAGAAGGGCCCTCTCCTGTGTCCCACACACACACACTAAGTGCACCTGGAAGGGTGGCGGGATGGAGAGAAAGGCCTCCCCTCATGATCTTAACCCCTGGGCAGGGTCATAGAGGGAGAATGGGGTCCTTGAAAGAGCTTAACGGAGAGCACAAGGGTCCAGATCCATAGCAAGGATCTTGGATCAGCCCCCTCTCCAAGTTGTGGCGACGGCCGACAGGTCTTGATAGCCCTTTTCCCTTTTGCTGATGATCTGAGGCCACACCGAGAAGCAGGGAGTGGATATGAAATCTGGACATAGAAGGCCACCTTTTTTGGGGTGGGTGGGAAATTGCTCTCTGCTCGGCGAACAACGCTGGTGGTTCAGAGGGCGTAACTCAAGAACAAGGCCGGCTCCAAGCCCTTGGTGTGTGTCCCCCCCCCGTGCCTGCTGACAAGGGGATGATTAATACATGGGCAACCTGAGGCCGGGCGGTCATTATGTGAAATCGCACCAGGCCTTGTGGCTCAAGAGTTTCAAACCGATTGCCCTCCGGACCCTGTGATTGTCTTGGGGGGGAGGTTCTGTTTCTCAAAGGCCAACAGCATTTAATTCAAGCTGCACATTTTCGCTGGGAGGGCTTAATGGCTCCGAGAAGAACTGGACTTTTTGCAAGCCTTTGGTGTTCACGTTGGCGAACCTTATTAGACAGGGATCGTTAATCTGAAACTTGGCCACGGGTCTTGCTTTTGTTTTCCTCTCTGCCGTAGAGACAAATGATACATTACAGACAGCCCCTCGTTAAATGAGAGAATCTCCTAAATGCTGACAACATTTGATTTGTCACAACAGGAAGGAGCCTTTCACAGCTCCTGGAATTTTGGCTGTTGTCCTTCTTTGTGTTTCTTATTTTTGGTTGATTCTCAAGAGGAAAGCACCAGTTTCGTTTGCAGGACTGGTTCCTCGGATGCCACACTGCGAGAGAATCGTGTCCCCAAAACGCTAGCGTTATCGCTGCCTGGCCAGTTCCCTGTTTGTGTCTGTTTTTGGTTGGTTTTAAAGGATGAAGAGTGTTTGCGACCGGGCGAGGCGACCGACTTGAGTTTCCTGGAAAAGTTGGAGGAGAAAGTAGGAAACCATGCGCACTTCCTGACGTATGCACTTCTGCTCTGTAACCTTTCCCTAGAGGAGACAGGCCTCCTGCTCAAGTTTCCCTGGCCCCTGGGTCAGCCCCCTTGCTTAGGGGTGGGGTGGGGTTTCAGTGTCCCACTGGGGACCCACTGGGGACACCCAGAACTTAGAAAAGTGAGTGCTTTTCCCAGGCTCTGGGCCTATACTTTCCCAGATGTAAGACCCTCGTGTTCACGGTGGGGTTTCAGTGTCCCACTGGGGACCCGCTGGGGACACCCAGAACTTAGAAAAGTGACTGCTTCCACGTTTCCCAGGCTCTGGGCCCATACTTTCCCAGATATAAGACCCTCGTATTCACAGGGAATCGGTTCCAAGCCCTCCCCCCCATGGATAAGCTATTTTGAGAGTGAATGCTATATATATTATGGTCTCTGACTCCATTTAATGACCAGTTCTGGTACCTTTTTTATTATAGAGAGTGAATGCTATATATATTATGGTCTATGGCTTCATTTTATGACCAGTTCTGGTACATTTATTATTATATTGTGGATAAGTGAATCAGTGGATACTGATCCTGCGGATAAGGGGAGTCATACCCTATTTGACCCTGACAGAATAGGAAATGTATGCAGCTATTCCCAGGGGACTAAAGTCAACCATTTCCCCCCCCCTTTCCTTCTGTTTTTTTTTTTCAGTCGAAAGCTTGCAGATCAGAAGACTCGCAAGTCCATTGACTGGATGGATTTTCGGCTCCTGCACTACGCCGGCGAGGTCACGTACTGCACCGTAGGTGAGAGGCGGCCGGTTCCTCCCTTCTGGAAACGGGAGGCTTTGGATCCTCTCCAGATTCTAGGGGCTGAGCCAGCGGAGTGCAATCCAGGCCAGATTTCCTACGCTTCCATTTCCCCGTGATGGCTGAGTCGGAGGGAGGCTGGATGGGGAGGCTCCTTCCAAACAAGGATCCAGTCCAGTCTGAGCCATTTCAGATAACCCGTCATTACAAGGAAGGAGTTTTTTTCAATACCTCCAGTAATTTGTAAATGGGTTTATTTTGTTTGATGTTTGGTCTCCAGGATATAGCTCTGTGTCTGGAAGAGAAAATGTCAAACTGAGAGCCAAACGGTGCTTTCCAGAGAGCCCCTCATTAGGAGAGGAAAATCCTCGGCTGCTGAAAGCATTTCGTTTTCACAGCAGGAGCTTCTCCTGCCTCCAGTCACTTGCAAATTAACGTCAGTGACAGATTACCTATCTAAGTCTCCGTTGAAAAAGCCTTTCAAGAAAGTCCCTTGGCTTTTTTATGTGCTTTTCCCTTCTGTTTAGAGTGTTGTTTTCTTTTTTTTTAAAAAAAATCTCCTACTGGCTTTCTTTAATTTTCTTCCCTTCCTTCTCCTCTCCAGGATTTCTGGAGAAAAATAACGACCTACTCTATCGGAACCTTAAAGAGGTAAAAGGAACCAGTAATGTGGATGGACCTTGACTTCGGTCCTGGCTTAAATCGGAGTGGGCAAAAACAGGTTCTTTAAGTAGAAATGGAGAAATGCACACTCGCTCACATATAGACTTTAAGTTCAGACCTATTTCTGAAGTTTTTTATTTCGTGTTTTCAGACAGTGGATCCATGAATCCTTGGATGCCTGCTCCTGTGGATGCGGGGGGTGGGGTTCCTGCTGTATTTCATCGCACCCATCTTTGTTTTCTGGTTTTAGTTGCAGCCCCCCCCCCTTGGCAAAGATTCTCTCTTGTTAGCTAGGCGATGGCAAACTTAGCAGGGAACCTCTCAGCAGATGCTAAGGCTTGTGGGGTGTCACCGAAGAGTCTGGGGTGGAGTGGGTCAGGGGGCTCAGCGTGGCTTGGGCCTGTTCGGCAGCGTCGCCTTGTCCTGCTTCTTTCCAGGTGCTGTGCAAGTCCAAAAACGGCATCCTCAGGGAATGCTTCCAACTGTCAGAGCTGGACAACCGGAGAAGGCCTGAAACCGTGAGTCCGCCACCCCCCCTGCCTCCCACCCCCCCAGGATGTGAGTGGATCCCTCTGGCCAGTTCTGTTGAGAAGAGTTCTCCGGAAGGGGAGGCTTCCCGTGGCCTAGCTGAGGATCCAGATTTCAATGGGGAAAAAAACCTTATTATTATTATTATTATTTTGAGTCCCGGGCGTCTGGAAGGGCAACGAGGCTGGGCCAAAGCCCCGATTCCTTCTGTGAAGGTGTTAAGCCGTCGTTGCTGTCCTGCGCAGGTGGCGACACAATTCAAAAGCAGCCTGGCGAGTCTCATCGAGATCCTGATGTCGAAGGAGCCGTCCTACATCAGGTGCATTAAACCCAACGATGACAAAGCGCCCGGTAAGCGGAATATCCCTGTTGCAAAACTCCAGATTCAAAGAAGGGGGTGGGTGTGTTTTTCGGTGGTACAGAATGGCTTTCCGCAGCAGCGTCTGCAAGATGACGGGTACCCTATTGAAAAAAGAAAATACCCTAAAAGTTTTGTTCCAAGGAAGAATGGTGTTCTGTCCCGCCCAGATTTAAAGTTTGGATCCGAGTGGGCTTTCTTTCTGCAGGCGAGGGCTGAGGTTAAGATTGACCTTGTCTCTTTTTGCAACTGACCATCAGGCAATCAGTGCAGGATTTCCACTGCAAGCCTGGTGGTGTTTTTCAAAGGGGTGTGTGCGATTGGACACTAGGAAGGTGGGTTGTGGAAGAAGGTATGGGGGGAAGAGGGGGGAAGTGGCTCAGATGCCCTCTCTTCCAGCTTTCTTCCAGACCGTAGAGCCCCGATCCTGACCCTTATTTCCTGCGGGGCTTCTGCCTCCCACAGACAGGTTTGACGATTCCCTCATAAGGCACCAGGTGAAATACCTGGGGCTCATGGAGCACCTGCGCGTGAGGCGCGCCGGCTTCGCTTACCGTCGGAAGTACGAGCACTTTCTCAAGAGGTGAGGTTGGCATCCTTTCGCGCCTGGGGCATCCTCTGGTTTTGCAGAGACGGTGAATCTGATCCGGGTTTGAATCCGAACTTTATATGAGCGATTCAAGGTTTTGCCTGAGGCTTGAAGGTAACCTAGATAGTTCCTCTAAAGCATAAACCAAAATCTGGGGTGGATTTTCATAACTTCTGGTTCAGCAGGGCAGCGAGGGGATTTTGTGAGTCGTTAGCCATATATTCTAAGGACTCTCAGGTCAAGAGCGGCTTTCAATGTGGTCTGTTGGAGAACAGTTTGGGGAGAAGGTTCTCCTCCCGATTTCCTGCCCGCTCTCCGAGCTCCAAACCCTGTTTCCTTTGATCTTCTTCCGGCTGCACTTTCTCTTGCGCATTGGTTTCCAGTTGTGTCTTTCCTCAGGTACAAGTCCTTGTGTCCGGAGACCTGGCCCCACTGGCGAGGCACAGCGGCCAAGGGCGTGCAGCTGCTGATCAAGCACATTGGCTACCAGCCTGAAGAGTATAAAATGGGGAAGTAAGGACCGGGCGGGTTCGTTTTCCTTTTCTCTCGTATCTCGCTTTGCTCACCGTTTGAGCCCAAAGCGGCTAACAACGCCGCTGATCACATAAGCGCAGCCATTCCGAAGAGCAGGAACCGTTAGAAATAACCAGTGCGATGAATAAACAAACACATGAGAAGATATCAAATGGCAATACAATGGGCAATAGTTATTGATTATTGATTGATTTCATTTATACCCCACTTTTCTCTGTTAGGGAATCCCACATGGCTTATAATATACCTAGAAAAGCAGGTTCAGCCAAAACTCAGGATAATTTTTTAGCTTACTGTTTGGATTCTTTGAAATAATGTGATTTATTTTTTATTTATTGTCTTGCTCAGAACCAAGTTATTCATTCGTTTCCCGAGGACGCTGTTTGCTACAGAAGATGCCTTTGAATACAGAAAACATCGGCTTGGTATGTGTTTTGACTTCCAGATCCCAGAATGTCGTTTTCTGTGGCCAGGGGGCTGGGGGTGGGGGGAGAAAGGTAGGAAATCTTTTTTTCAACCTGAGAGTCAGACTTGGTCACAGGGGCAATAGGAACTGCCTTTAAGCACCCTTTAAATGGATTTAGATCTTATTGTTCACACAACACAAGGGCAAAGTCCATTTATATATGGGTTGCAAAGCAAGGTGTGTCTGGGGGGGTTGGTTTTTTTCCCCCCAAACATCTTGCTTCTAAAATTTGACTCGATTCAATGCGGTTTTGAGGAAATGAGTCTTATTTCAGCCGTGTCGATGCCGAAACCGGTTTTTAAATCCCCAGAAATAAAACCAACGAACATTCAGTGCCTGAGAAGGCAGCCATGGATTTCAATGCCACGTGCCTTGAACCTGATTTTTAAAAAACGGCTGAACAGAAATCAATTTAAATTGCCCATGGGGACCCCTGCTTCAGGCTTTGGAGAAGTTTGGGGTGGGGGGGAAGCTGCATTGAGTTAGTGGGCTGCCCCAGGGGAGAAGGAGGGGGGTCCAAAAAAAGGCCGGCTTAGTATGAGCTTAAAGCCCTTGATGGCAGCCACTCAGCCTTACAAGGGACCTCGCCCTGGATTTGACAAGGGCAGCCCAGGACGATGGGAGGTGTAGTCCAACACACCTGAAGAGGGAGCAGGATGGAGTTGAAGAGTTCCAATGGGGACTTCCTGTCCCCCCCCCGGTCCTCTTTATATTCAAGGAGACGTGTTTCTTTTGCTGTTTCAGTTGCCAGAATCCAAGCCAAATACAAGGGATGCTTAGGGAAGCGAGAGTTCCAGAAGATGAGACAGGCAGGTAAGGACCGTCACGGCGGAGAAGCCCAACGCCCTAGACATTTGGGTGTCGTCAAAGGGAAGCCGTCGCCTGCGGGGTGGTCTCTGTTCGTGTCTGTTTTTTTGAATAATATGGTTATGAGTGAATGGAACTCTAGCCTGATGGTTACGGTCAGGTTGTATTATTTTTATAACCAAAGTTATATTACGAATATAAATTAAAATTTGTGCAAAAAGGCGAGAGTGAGAAACGTATGCCCGGGCTCTTTTCAGCCCTCTTAATCCCCGGGTTTGTGTTTCTCTCTTATTCCCAAGAGAAATACTGGATTACTAATTTTTCCCCCTCCGTTGGGTCAGGCGGCCATGCTTGGGGCTCTGGCGCCCTCTGCTGCTCATGGTGTGCCGTGATTCACACTTTAAGATAATAGTGTCTTTGGATAATGAAGACCGAAACAAAACAGAACAGGAAGACAGAAATAAAAACTCATGTATGGTGTCACCTTAAAAGGCTAGCCGTTTTTATTTCAGCATGATCCTTTGTGGATTTGGGTCCCTTTCGAAGAGATAGGTGGGGTAAAAATATATTCAATAAATTAATTGAATAATAAATGAAAACTTGCTTCCTGGGACATACAGAGCGTGATCGCTATGTTGCAGGTTTATGTACAATGTGCACGGTACATCCGTCTCATAGGGTGGCCCAGAAGCGACTCTCCGTGAAATTTTAGGGTGCCCTAGGACTGTGCCGTTTGCCCCCAAGGCCACCCAGGCTGGCTCTACTCCCAGGAAGCGTGGCGTGTGGGGGGGGGAATCGAACTCCCAACCTTTGTGCTCCCTGAAGCCCTGAGTTCTCTGGCTCGCTTAAACTCCTTTTGGGAGAGGCTGGCTATTTTAGGGGAGAACCTTGGTACCCCTGGGATATCTTCCTTTTTAAATGTGATCCCACTGCAAAAGAAAGAACAGGGGTGGAGGGGACTCCGTGGCAGGCGGTTATGCTCCTTTCTCCCGTGTCGCTCCCAGTCTCCAACCACCGAGAACCTGTCTTGCAGCCATCAAACTTGAGTCCTGCTGGCGGGGGGTCCTTGCACGCAAGCTGGCCAAGAAGAGGAGGTGGGCGGCTCAGACCATCCAGAAGTAAGTGCCCGGCCTGGCTTTGCTTTCCTTGTTTGGCTCCTCTTTCCAGCGGCTGCCTCAGCCAAGACGGGAGGGAGGGCCACGCCCCCTCGATCTCCGTAGATCTGTCGATCCTGAAACCACGGCCGCTTTCCTTCTGCAGGTACATCAAGGGCTTCATCCACCGGAAGCAACCTCTGAACCCTGAGAACAAGGACTATGTGAGGCTCGTGCAGTACACCTACCTCCTAAAACTCAGAGACCACCTTCCCAAGAATGTCCTTGATAAAAACTGGCTCCAGCCTCCGGAGATACTGGAACAGGTGTGGGCCTGGAGTCAGAGCAGCTCTGTAGAACCTCCATCTTTAGGAGCAGTGTACCTCCAGAGGCCACAGCAGGAGAAGAGTGGGCTTCTCTGAGGCGCCTGGGAGTCTCTGGTTGGGGTGGGACCTCTGTGTAGGTTGGCCTATATACCCATATGGCCACATGTAAGAGGTCTTTATTTTGGAGGTAGCCCTACAATTATGTTCCTTAGAGATCCGGTCACATGCCCCTCTGTTTGAAAGCTTGTCTCTTAAGGTTTTCAGAGCATAAGCAAAGTGCTAGCGTCTCCTTCTATTGCTGCTTGTCTTGTTTCTGTTGTATTTGAGGAGTTGCTGCTGATTTTAAACATTTGGAATGTGTTGTTTTAATTATGTGTTTTTCAGTACAGTAGGAAACCCCCCCTTAGCCATGGTATCCGCTGATTCACGTATCCACTGTCTGGAAATATTAAAAGAAAAATCCCCCAAATATATATTTCTAATAATGACGTTGCCAGAACTGGCCAGTAGAGGGAGCGAGAGACCATGCCATGCCTGGGGATTGGGGGGCGGGGGAAGAATTCTGGCGCTTAGCCCCCTTTCCAGGTTCAAATTCACCCTCTTTTTCCTGCGCAGACCTCTGTGCTCTTGAAGGCAATCTGCATGAAGAATCTAGTCCGGAAATATTGCCGAAGCATCACGGCGGAGAAGAAAGCACAGGTGATGTCGCGTCCCATTCCCCCCCCCCGGGGCTTGCACCAGTTCTGGCCGCCTTTTGCAGCCAGAGTCAGTCCTCCTTCTCCTTTGCGGGGTCAGCCGCCTGATCCCGACAGGGACCCCAATGCACCCTAAATATACCCTGGACCGGCTCCGAGGGGCACAGGGTTCAAATCCATCGAGGCCCCTGGATTTCTCTCCTGCAAGGAAGACGGTTTGACTTGCTGACGGATCTCTGGTGGCCGGGGTTTCTTAGGGAAAAGCCAGACCAGCTCAATGTGGTATAAATTAAAAAAAACAAAAACAGATTAAAACATGGCCTCTCGCAGTGTCTTGGAGGGAAACAGATTATGCCGTGCAAACCCTCGTTCCCAAGAAAACACGGGCATGCTAAAGCGGTGGGCCTGCTCAGTGGTTTCAATCTTCGCTGAGCCAGACGTTTTGAGTTCAAATCCCCCGTCTGCCTGCTTGAGCGACGTCACCTCCCGGCCGGCTCTTTAAACCAGCCTTTCCTTGGTCCCTTCTCTGCTTTTCCATTCTGAAACAGATGGAGCAAAAAGTGTTGGCCAGCACGCTCTTCCGAGGGAAGAAGGCCGGCTACCCAGAGAGCGTGAAGGAGCCCTTCGCTGACACCAGGCTCAGTGAGTCCTTTGGAAACACAGAGAGGGCAGAGATTTGAACTCGGGGCTGGGGGTGGGGGGAGAGCTGCTGATGGGGTTGGGTGACCTGTAGGTGCGTCGACCCCCATGGAGGTTCGGATGTGGTCCTTCCACTTCACCTTGAAGGCACATCTTGTCTGTGGCCGTCCCGGTGTGGCCCACGCAGGCTGGAGGATTCAGGAGACAGAGATGCTGAAGAGTCAGTTTTTCCAAACTCTGCCCTCCATGAAGAGTCGCCTCCAGCCAACTTTGTTATTACTTCAGCCCCAGGCAAACCAGACGGGTTTCCAAGCTTCGTCCTGCGGATGCTGAAAACTGTTCATAAGCGAAGCTGGCGATCCCGGTCCTGTGGAGACAGGGATCCTCCTGTCTTTTGCCTGGCATTTGCCTGGCTTCTCTCAATGGCCCGGCCAGGTCTGTGGAAGGGCAGACTGGAGATCTGGCTCAGACAAAAGGATGCCAAGACCCCTGGAAAGATCTCTTGCCTTGGGATCGATCCTTAGTGTGAGCCTGTTGGCCAGCTTTGCCTCTTTCCTGCCAGGAAAAAAAAAATGCAGCTGCCATTTCTTGCTCTGTCCCCAGGTGAGAGCGAGTTGAGCCCAAAACTTATGCAGATGATCCGCCACGAAAGAGTCAAGGTAAGGAGGAGGGAAGGTCGGGGTGGCCTCAGGGCACCCCAAATGGCTCACATGGTCCTCTGTTGTCTAGAGAGAGAGAGAGATATCTATACAGAATATATAATTCTTAGAAAGATCCTGTTCGTTGGGAGCAGAATCAAAGAGTCTCTTGTTGGTCTTTCAGTATGTCACCCCGGTGGTGAAGTACGACCGGAACGGCTTCAAACCCAGGGAGAGGCTCCTGGTTCTGACCCGCGTGGCCGCTTACGTGGTGGAGGTAGCCAAGATCAAGCAGAAGATGGAGTATGCAGCCCTCAAAGGTGACGTTTGCCGCCAGCGGTGGTTCTGTCTTCCCCCTCCAAGTGGACTCCCGGGCTGCTTCTGTCCTTCCCTAGGATCCCGTTAGCCTTGCTGAGGATCCATTAAGTGTTGCAGAGACGTCATTCGGGCAGACCTTGGTGCCCGAACTAAGTGTACTTGTGGCAGAAGCCCAGGCTTCCCTTCCGAGGGCCGGTCCGAAGACAGAACCAGGCGGTTCGTGAACTCATGAGCCCCTAACGAAGACCTTCTTTCAATCATGGGCTAATGGTGGGCTTAGAGAACCGGGCAGAGCTTTTCCAGAGGAGGGGTCTGAACATTGAAAGGGGTTTGGTGTCTTACTTTGGCCCAAAGAGAAGTCCCGCCTTGTATTTTGCTTTTCCTTCTAGTCAGTGGCTTCACTTCATTTTTCTTTTTCTTTCCCTTGCCAAGGCATCTCCACCAGCAGCCTGAGTGATGGGATTGTGGTCATCCATGTTGGAGAAGACAATAAGCAAGAGAAGGTAAGCGAGGTTGCCTCCGTTGTGTGTGTGCGCACAAAGCAGAATGGACTTTGGAGAGGAGCCTCCAGGAGGCCTGCTTTTAAAACGAAGGCAATGGACCTTCAGCTACAGTGAGGGGCTCCCTCCCGAGACACTTTAAGGACCAGCCAGTGTTGCTGAGCAGAAGCTTTGGGGAACGGAGGGCTGGGGTTCCCCCCCCCCCAAGATCTTCTGCTTTGTGCCCATATCAAACTGGTGGTTCTTTCAGGGCCCATAAAACTTTTTTTTTGCTTTTTGTCATAAGCTGTGCCTTCCAACTTCCCCCCCTCACCCCCGTTTTTGCTCCCAGGGAGACGCCATTCTACAGTGTGAGCACGTGTTTGAGACCGTCACGAAACTCTGCCTGTTTGCCAACAAGCAGGACTCCGTGGCCGTCGTGGAAGGGAGCCTCCAGTTCCAGATTAGTCCAGGGAAGGAAGGAACTCTGGTTTTCACCACCGGCCAAGAGCCTCAGGTCTACAAAGCCAAAAACGGAGAACTGACGGTGGTAAGAAGTCGCGTCTTGACCCGCTCACAATTGTGTGTGTGTGTGTGTGTGTGCTTTGTTTAAACGGGGAAACAAACTTCCTGGGGACGGTTCCGTTCTCTAATAAAAGCCACAGTATGGAGACAGGCAGCGGAGAGCTGTTAATTAGACCCCCCAATTTAATTTTGTTCCTCAAACCATATGCATTAGCCGGCAACTGCCTCTGATCCGGTAGGAATGGCTTTCAGAGCTTGTTGCCCCCCCCAAACACACACACACAAGATCCCCTTCCAAATTAATCCTCCCGTGTAAACCCCCAAATCGAAATCAACACAAAACGTGCTAAACTCGAATTTAATCGGTTTGTGTCGATTTTCATCGTGGGATCGGGCTCTTGGTTGGATGAGAACAACTCACAGTTCCCTAGCCATCCTCTGGACAGGGGACACAGGGCGTTGGATGTCCAGAAAAAAGTAACTTTCCCACACTCTGCACACCATTTGGGGGGGGGGACAAGAAGGGAACTGGACAAAGGAACACCTTTGTAAATGGCTTTCCTGTTTTTAAATCCCAAAGGTGTCCCCTAGGATAAAGGCCTGATGGGAACATGGGTGCAAGCTTCGCCTGCGGTCGCCTCTCCTTGGACACGAAACGCTTCCCTCCGGCAGCCCGGAGGAATAAAGTTGCCCTTGGCGATTGTCCAGAGATTTGACCCGTACAAAGGGACATCTTGTCGCTGTCGGGACTCCTCCTGCAGTTGAAGTCTATCTGCATTTTAAGTCTTCCCATAAAAAGAGGGAGAAAAAGCAATGCTGGCAGAGAAAAACGTTTTACCTGTGAATAAGAGGAATCCCATGGCTGCCTGTGTAAACACCCCAGTAAGTGTATTTTTGGGACACGTCGCTTTTAGTCCGAGAGGGGAACAACCGAAGTCTCCTGAACAGCCACGGGCCTCTCTTTTTAACAGAGAAAAAAAGGAATCAGGGTGGAAGAGATGGGGATTTGCCTCCAGGACTGAGCAAACGAGGGCAGAAAGCGTTCCGTGTTCCGCTTCATACCGATGGGGAGAAATCCCCTTTTCTCAAACCACCTGGACAGGATCCCAGGCAGGACGCGAACGCTCCCTGTGGCTATGACGGCACTGTTCGAGGGTCCCCATTCTGTGGGTCAGCTGGCGTGCGCCTGGGGCAGAACCTTTTTCTGCTCTTGGCAGTGCGCTTCCACTTTCCTCTCTGTGTATGGGGCCATGGGACGGATTGGGTGGATGAAACATTAAAGGTGACGAGAATGCCGGCTTCTGCCAGTCTTGCGTCTTTAACGGAGCGAGGCTGTCCTCCAGGGCAACTCTGGAAAGCAGCTGTAAGGTCTGCATGCATTGGTTTTTTTTGTTTTTGTTTTGACGATAATGATTTTAAAGGAACACGGTGTTGTCTGCCTGTTTAGCTGCCGCACAGGTAAACAAGCTTATTAGGAATCTGGCAAGGGGACGAGGCAGAGGCAGGGGGGGCTTCCAACAGGGCTTGTGGACCCACTCCGGATTTTAGCCCGACCATTACGAGAGGTTGCCCAGGTTGCTGGACCTTGCCCTTAAAAACCAGAGCAGGCCCTTCGCGTTTCCATTGGCTCACTACTTCCAAACTCCGTCAGTGTGTCACTGATGGATATAACAACACGCGGGGAGACTGAGGCAGGAGGCCGATGGAGATACCTGGAGGTAAGGCCTTCCACCGAATCCCTCCTCCTCTCCCAACCAGCCCTCCTCGCAGAAGTCCGCTGGGCTTGAAAAGGGGACCTCCATCACCCGAGCGAAGGGCCAGAAATGAGAAAGACGCAGCCAGCGTTGCTTATTTATTTTGCATATTGTTCCAAACCGTGTAAAATACATCAACACATAAATGGACGTGGGAAACCAGCTACAGGAGGAAAAGGGAAGCCAGTACGGCACGGAATGAGCGTCCTGGTTCACCCTGCACAGATGGAATGGGGCACCTCAAGGGTAAAGCCGGCAACAGTTACTTTCAGGAGGAGGGCACAGCTCTTACATGCAATGGGGCGCCTGCCTCGTGCACTTGTAAGCTGCCCCTGAAAGTGCTTTAAGCACTTGGGGGGCAGTCCATAAGCCCCCCGGTTTGTTTTTCTTTTTTGCTTTATAGTTCTGCCTGGCTAACATTCCAACGTGAACTAGGTGGCCCTCTTGAATCTCTCAAAAAAAGCTTCCTAGCAGACAGAGGGAGAGAAGGACTAATGCCCACGGGAGCGACCTTAACTGGACCTGAGGAATCAGGTCTGGTTTTCTCCCCGTCACATCTTGTTCGGACACTACAGCACAGGTGGGCACAGTGTTGCCCTCTGGACTACAAAGCCCAGCAGCCCCGGTCAGAGGCAAGGAAGGCCGGGGGCCAAGCTTGGCACACTGGCTTCTCCCCAGTTTGCAGCCATAGGTTCAGAGTTGCCTGAACATCCCGTTATCCGGTTTACTGAGGACCCCCACACCCACGAGCAGCTAGGAAATCCAGAACCAGGGAGGATTCAAAGGCGCTCTGCTGTGTTAGGCTGTGAACTGAAAAGAAAAGAAAAAGCAAAGCAGCAAGGGGATTCTGGGAGATGCCGTTTGGTGTCAGGTAGGCGTGGAGTGCAAGCTTGGATTGTGGCCCCCAACGTGCAACCATGGGAATGAATTTGTCCTTGGGAGGGGAGCGAAAGGAACAAGGTCCCCCCCCCCGCTTGCCTGCACAGCTCCGGCAACCCTGACAACTTCAGCTGATTACAAGCGACCCTGGCAGCGTCCCCTTCATTCCACGGTGTGTTAAAAAAACACACCCTCCCTTCCTCGCTGGCAGAGGCAGGACCTGGCAGGATCCGTCCCTCTCCTTGCTTTTTCTCCTTCGCTGACCTCCCTCGCCCTCCTCCTCCGCTGCTGAGGAGATTAACTTTCCTTCGGTGCCTCCTCAGTTCCTGCAAACATTCGCGAGGGGCGACTCCTCTCTCCGGAAGCGCCTTTCAAAGGAAGAGGAAGCCGGCGGGGCCGCCACCCTTTCCCCTGAGCGCCGGGTGCGAAAACCGCCGCACCTTCTCGGCAGCGCGGCTGTAGGGAAGGAAGAGGCAGGCAGGGAAGATGGCGGCTGAAAAGGCGGAGACAGTTTCTTCCCGAAATCAGAGTTCCCAGAGGGGGCGGCCTAAGGGCCAAGTTTATTGCAAAAGGAGGAGGTGGTGATGGTCCCTTCAGAACTGGCTCTCTGCTCCCTTGACCCCTGGGGTCATGCTATTCCTTTCCCTCGTGCTGAGCCCCAAAACGGGACCCCGACACCCACCCGCTTCGTTCTTTCCTGCCCACCTCAAGACATGCCTCTCAGTGCTATCAGTAGGGAATCGTACATAAAACGTAACAAGAGGAATAAAGAAGCGAACTTACTAAACTTATCAAGAGGATTCTCAAAGTCCTGGTGAAACAGAGATGTGTATCGCTCCTCCATTCACCGTTTACAATCAAGAGCAGCCGTCATGGATCAAGGCTGCCAAAATACAGAGCAGATTTTATGGCTGGTCCTCAAATATCAGAGACGGTTTTGAAAAACCGTCAAAATCAGAGACAGTTTTTGAACAACAAACAGCAAAGGAGAAACTTATGCAGAATAAAGCCTTCGCCAAACGCCACCAACAGGCGGCTGTTCTGTTTTGTAGCTTGCCAGCTGCTTTTCTGGGCATCCTTCACCCCTCGTGAGGCTCAAAAAGAGCATGAGTAAGACGCACGAAACAATGAACGGACAATATTGTTTCCTTAAGGGAGAGGCCACTGCTAGACCGGCTTGTGAGTGGAAGGGAGGCTGCAAAACACAAAGGGAACCAGTTTACTGTGGCGTCTCAAACACAAGACACTGCAAAACCTGTTGTGTTTCTCCTTGCCAGGATCCTTACTCAGACAAACTTACTGCTGAATCTTTGGGTGACCCGGCTTTCCTGCTACACAGACCCCTCAAGCAGCTCCAACCAGATGAGATGGAGCAGAGGTCCATCAGGAGATGGAGCAAAAGAGGGCCTCTCTCTCCACCCAGCAAAAGTCATATCTGGGCACGACCCTCACTGATATCACAGCCTACCTCCCCCTCTTCCACACCTCGTGGCTCGCCAGATGGAGGCTCTTGGTCTGCGCGGATGAATTTGGAAGAGGGAGGAGAGAAGGGGCGGTGGCGTCTCCTGCAAAAGCCCCCCCCCTCCCCAAATATCTCATGGGACAGGCATCTTGTCCCTTGCTTCCAAATGCCCAGAGATTCTGTCGCTGACAAGCCCCGTTTGACCGGCAGAGTGGAAAAACTAACGTCAGAATAAAATCCCTACCATCTCCCAGCCAAGATTCTGCAAGTTTCAGTCCAAAAAATTAAATAAATCACCCACTGCCCTCCCAAGAGGTGTGGGCCTGTTGCAATGAGCAGGGAAGAGGAGGAAGCCGTAGATGGAAGGTTGCCCCTCCTAGTGCGAGATTCCCCCCCCACTACCTTTCAAAAGGGGACCCACAGCCAGGCGCAGCTCCTCCATTAACCTACACCCGTGCTGTCATGGAATGGACACCCTGGCTCAGGGATAGAGGCCCTGGCCATCGAGAAGGGCAAGCCGGCTTAAAAGGAGGGGGCAAACAGGGTGACGGAGTGGACAATGATTAATTTGGGATGGGGGGGGAGGAAAGGTAAGGCAACACGGTGCTAAATATTCCCCGGTAGTTCGGAAGAACTCTTTCTCTCCTACCCACTAAAAAGGGATGGGGGAATCTAGGTCTCTCCGTAGCTCCTTGTGCGTAAGCTTTACCCAGGGATTCTGGTCCAGCCCCAGCCGCCAAAAGGCTCTTTATAAAAACAAGATCTACTCAGACAGAGGCTGAGAGGAAGCCCTTTGTGTTCCCACCCCTCTTCCAACACGACCACCGAGAAACAAACACGTGACTGGAAATACAACTCATCTCACATATGATGATGTTCCGAAGGAAACGCAACCAGCTGGTCGTGAAGGCAAGCTCCTTCCTGAAGCCGGGATGCGAGCGAGGCAACGAGGGTGGCCGCCATCGTCCCCTGGGTCAGAGGTGGGGTTGGGAGAGGTCTCTCTCTGGTGGACCGGGGCTCCCCAGAACCTCTCCAGCAAGCAAGGGGACAAACCTTGGTTGCTGCGGGATTCGAGGACCTTTATGTCCAATCCCCACCCCATCCAAGAAAAGAAACTTCTCTACGCACTGAAAAACACAGGAGTTAAATATTTGCCTAGCGGGAGGAGGGCCGTTCTCTAACCCCAAGAGAGCTGGATTAGAAAGGGGTTCTAAACAAAGACACACGACATCCCTCGAGGAGTCAGTCGGGTCTCCCCCCCCGAAGCAGGACCCTTCACTGATTTTCGTTGTTTTTTTTTAAACTTCTTTTGTTAAATACCCAAAATAACCTAATTCACTTTCTTTTTTTAAAAAAGGACAGTCCGTAGACCTCACTGGAATATAAGTCAGGGGCCTGGTAGCAGGCGGGAGTGCGTCCGGACGGAGGTTTCGCAGGCGGGAGGTGGAGCCCTCCCAGCTTCACTGGTGGAGGTGAGCGCGGTCGTCGGGGCGCTTGATGTGGATCCTGCGGACCCGCTCGATGCGCTCCCGCTCTTCGTCCTCGTCCAGGTGGTGGGAGCGGCCGGCCGCCCCGCCGGTCGCTTCCAGCAGGGCGTTGTCGGGGCCTCGCCCGTCCTGGGCTTCGTAAAGCAGGATGTTCAGCGTCTCCTCGTAGATCCGGGCTTCGGGGAATTCAACCTGGGGGGTCCAAAATGAGGTTAGGAGGAAGGGCTGCGTTTTGCCTCCTGTTCCGCTGGTGCCCTTCTGGGTCTCTTCAGGAGATGGAAGAGAAGAGAATGCATATATTTTTTAAAGTAATGCGACCTGCCCTTCTCTCTCCCCCAAAGGCTAAAAGGTGGTCCCAGCTGGGAGAATCCCACGGATCTTGTGGGTCTGATACGGGTCCCAGAGGAGCCCCTCCTGGCAGCTGAAGGTGAAGCCCAACGGTTTGCCCCCCCCCCCATTCAACAGCTCTCTGCGCCGTCCCTGTGGGCACCCTTCTGGAGGAGAGGGCTCACCTTGGTCTGTTTCTTCTCGGTGGCGTAGACGATAGACGTGCAGCAGACCTCGGCGATTTTGCGCCCCTGTCCGTAGAACGACCAGCAGCAGATCTCGTCCCCAATCACGTCCTTGATGAAGAGGACGCGGCCGTTGAACCGCAGGGAGAGCTTGTCAAACAGTTCGATGTTCTTCAGCATGTTGTCGTCCGAATTGCTGGGGGGGGGGGGAAGAAAACCAGAAGGTGCCGGGCCGAAAAAGTCCTTTTAATCCCCTCAAAAGGCTTTTTCCTCTTTGCAAGCGACCCACAGACGCCCCTCGTGCTCCCAGATGGGGTCCATGTTACCTTCCTGGTCTCCAACCATCTGCCCCTTCTGGTCCCCCCACCCACCCTCTCCAAGCCAACTGATTCCTTTCTAGGTACACAAAGAGAAAAACCTTTACCTCGTGTAGGAGTACTTATTGTTGCTTCTGTTGTACAGGAGCTTCACGGCCGGCTGCAAGAGGAAGAGCAGAGAAGCACAGCTCAGTGTACAGGCAAGGCTTTGTCAGACAGACGGGAGGGCTTGAAGGAACAGCGGTGCTGAAAACCGACGGGGACAGCGCAGGTAGCCCGAGAGGGCCAAGAGTCGGGGACCCACCGGGAGGAATCCGTCAAGAATGGCCTCCTCACCTTGTTCGACGTGGCGATAAGCTTTTGCTCTTCCTTGGAGGACGTGATGATGGGCACCTTGCAGAAGGGCTCGTAGACCTCTTTATTCTGCTGGAACAAGAGTGCCAACAGCGCAGAGCGTCAGAGGATGAGGACCGGAGATGGGCGCGAACTGCCGGTTCGCGCCATTCGTTTTGGCTGAACAGGTGTTTGGCGCTTCTCAGGCCCACCTCCTCCAGCACGCACCCGCTCGGATATCGTGTCTGGAAGAGGCGGGACAGAGAAGCCGGAGGTGCACCCCCGGAGGCGGCAGGGCTCTGAACGGCCAAACATCTGTTCGGCCGAGAAGCCGGCACGAACCGCCAAGCCAGCGGTTTCGGGCTCATCCCTAATGGGGGCAGAGTAAACGGCCTGCCCGTGTGGCTCCACACTGCTTCGGTGCCCCAATAGCAGCATGTGTGTGTGGGGGGGAATGAAAACCTCCGCCAGACACACACTGGCTCACCTGTAAGGCCGCCTGGCACTCGTCCACCAGACCTTGGACGAGGTAATACTTGGCCTCAGCCAGCAGCTCTTCGATTTCCCTCCGGCTCTCCGGAAGAGGGACGGCTCCATCGCGCAGGTAGTTCAGGATGGTCCCAAAATGCTTCCCGCATCGGTCGATCAGGATCCACCCTGGGATGGGGAGACACGGAAAGAAGGGCGGAAGGAAAGACAGGAGGACGAAGCCATGAGAGGGGCGTCTGGAGGGGAGAGGAGAGGAGGGGGGGTCTGCCTTCTCAGCCTAAGGGGGGGGTCGGCAGGGTGGCAAAAAAGGCTTCCGTGCTTGTAAATCCAAGCAGCACACCCCAGCCCGTCTCCTCGCACTTAGAAGTGCATGAGGAGCCACTTTCCAAAGAGGCTGCATTTTTCTTGCAAGGAAAAAGGCGAAAGATAAAACTGGACCCACTGATTGCACCGGGCGGGAAGAGGGCTCCAGAACCGAGAGGGGTTGAGCACGCCTCATATACACACACTCTCTCTCTCTCTCCAAAGAAGAGCTGACCGCCTCCGGCCGCCCCACCAGCCCCACGACAGCCGCTCGGGAGAGCTCGGAGATCTTGCACAAGGCGGAGTGGGGGGGGAGGAGGAGGGAAGGAGGCTCAAGTTTCCGTAAACTAAACCAAAGGCCAGTTGATGGGCAGAAAAACAAGAATGCACTTCAGGGCTGTGGGTGAGGAGGGGGAGAAGCTGGAGCAGGAGGGGAGCGCGCCTCCCTTGACAAATAAGGGGAAAGCCAGCCAGGGAAGGCTCAGCGGAGAGCGGACGAGGCCTCTCGGCCATCCACCTCAAGTGGCTTCAAGGGGAACCCTTTCGCCCACCGGAAAGCTGGCCCTGCAGCTTCACGGGCTGCCCAGGGGGCCCGGGGCATCTCACTCATGGACCTCCAACCCAACAACAGCTGACCCCCAGAACGCCTTCCCTCT